TTGTTCGAACAAAGTAGTTTAGTAAAAATTCTACTCTTCAACGGAGAAGGAAATAGTTCAAAAAGCATATGTATGAATCTTAATTTATTGGGAAATATATTAATTGCTTGATAGAAATATGCTAATTACAGTTTGGCACTAAATAAAAACAACTAATTAACCAATTAACCTGTTTGCTTTGCCATAAAAAAGTAACAAAGTTAATGTAGAAGTAGAAGAAGCACAAATAGGCGTGCACTATACACAGACAACACAACTCGCAGATTGGCAAATTACGAATAAGGAGATGTGGGTGTCTTTCTCGAAAGGACCACGTTAGAGGTCAAGGCGTCAATCGATGCCCCTCTCTCTTTCTAATGTTCGGTAAGAGGGCATGCAAATATTCATTCTGTTAATAAATGGTGCCTTGAGTCAATTGAAAAATGGCTTGAATTCTTCAGTCAATGACGTAATACGGAGCTCACATATGCGCAAAGAAATTTTAACAGATTGTAACAAGAATTCACCATGCTCATCCACAGTCACTTCATTGGTAATATCCTCAAGTATGTCATGACTCCCGAAATGAGTTGAGGTGACTCAACTTCATTGAGCAGTGTCTACGTGGACACTGCAAGTCTTCCTTCATCCTGTGTGCTGCTGTGCACTCTACAGAACGGCTCGCGAACAGCTCTGCAGTGAATACATCGAGGAGACTGTGAGCAAAGGCACCACCAATATGTTGTCAGCCTCATGCAGTAATGAAGTAGGGGTGATGGCGCTATTGGGGTGAATGTAGGTAAGCATTGCATACAAGTGTGGCCTGTTGAGGACCGTATACGCTTATTTGAGCATAGGAATTTCGGCAGTCACTCTATTCACGCATTCATTAGTATCCTCGTGCTTGTGTGCTTGTGTGCCTGAATGAATGGAGGAGCCAAGTCTTTGATTGCAGTGGGTGAAATAAATGCGTACGTGCACTGCAACTCCTTGGTCCAAGAGTCGGAAGTCTACGTTCGCATGAAGAAATGTTTGAAGGATGAATGAATGAGATGCAAATCATATCACACCCTCCTCAACGGCAATAACCATACAAAGTGCATAATGCATGTGCACTCCCTTCTTCAATTCATCTGCCTCTTTCACATTCAGCTGGAATTGGAGAATATCAGGAGGTCTATAAAACCATTTCTCTAATTGATGTTCATACAAAGTAGGTGTACAGTAATGAGAGTTAGGTTTTCAAGTACTTCCCGATGCAGATGTGGCCGTTATTGCCATCGACAGTGAAAGCATAAGAATAGAAACCAAAGTTGTCAGTTTGTTCTATCGGACATCGAGGATATAGTCCAATAAAAACAGAACCTGGCATCATTGGTGTCTACCACATGTTGCAACGCAGTCTCTCCCACTTCAGCCAACCCTTCAACGTCAACTCCATAGTGTTCCGAAAAGTTAGATCACAACTCAAAAGAGCGGCGTTATTCCCGGATCATTGGGGAAGACATTAATGTGGTGTTTGGATTAGGTCAGGCCGTGTTACATGGTGCGGTGTACAGTAATAATCTCTGGTCTGAATTTATTGAATCGTAAATTGACTCCCCTTTCGTTGGCTGTCAAGAACAATAGCTCTCGCTTTGTGCTTTCATAATATAGAAGTTAGAATTAGGCTTTCAGCTTTAGTATTAGGCTGAATGTAGCCAAAATGTTTTCATGGTACTCAACCAAATAGAGAAAGAAGTCCTTACTCTTAACTCGTTTGATTAGAAATAATTTCAACCTCGTCAGTAGTATACAGATTTGCAAAGCAAATACGAGGTAAAATGAGCTCACTTATTGTAGTAAGTGGGAAAACTCGACGCGTAGTGGGGCACCTAAGAAAAGCAACGCTAGCGTTGCCCTCATCCAAACGTCCTATGCCTCACACATGAACTCCACAGCACACCACACTGGTGCACTACAAAAGCACATGAGCACTATTCCACCTTCTTTGGATATGGACCAGCAAGTACGCGAGCACATCACTAGGGTATTAGGCATGCAGGACATCCCACCGAATGCAGGTCATATTAGTTTGAACATGTCGATTCAGCTCACCACAAGTGGCCGATGTTTGCTTGCCCATTCACCTGTCGCAGTAACAGCAAAAAACGGTTAAGTGGATCGTAATACGTAATGGTTTTTCTGTAGGTTCACCTGCGCCAAACCTCTGCAACCAATGATCAAGTTTTGTTGTCTTGTCAGCATCGGGTAGATTCTCACCTTTCGGTAGCGGCACGTAAATGCCATTCAATTAAGACGGTTGTTACGGTGATAGTGACAGCGGGCAGTGTGTACAAAGGGAAGGGACGGAATAAGCGTAAGCTTAGGATTTGCACTAACAAGGAATTCTGCCTTCACGGGCAAAAATTCCTAACTAAGAACCCACTTAGCCAAATCACACATATTCAGACTGAAGTCTTGTGTCTTCGCTATCGCAATTAGCCAGACAACCACAACCAGATAATCAAAAAACAGCTGTCAGTCTCAGATCGAATTCATGTGCTCTGATGAAATGATAGTTTCGAGGCTGTGTGTTGTCGTCAATTTATTATTCTGTGGGTTGTAGCGGTGCAAAATGTGCTATGGGAAGGCCACCTGTTACTTGTTCTTTATTAGATGGGCAGTGATGGTGTGTCATCCAAGCGATATTTGCTTGAGGCTAGTGTTGGGACATGGAGAAGAAGTAGTTGTAGTTGTCAGTTAATGACAATGCCAATCGAGTGTCAACGCATGGCAAGAAGGCCGAAGGTAGCAATAGTGGACTTTGAAGTAGCACGAGGGTTCGTTTGAATCAGCTACTTATGACTTGTGAAGGTACGAAGAGGGCTGCTTGTTGTAGATGTGAAAGGCTTACTGATTGAAAGTGCAAAATGTGGAAAGAGGAAAAGAAATAGAGAAATGAAGGAAAGGTGGGTGATTTGGTGTTTTTTACTCCATTCGAACTGAGAAATTGTCGTACTGAGCATCCCGTTTGTCCACTGTGAGATCATATTGACACTTAGTATGGAGGTACCAATGATTATCGTTCTCTGCCATATCCTCATTCATCTCCAGTCTCCTTCAGTCCATCACAACGCACTCTCCTCTTAAACTAAACAAATCACTGTTGTCACAGATGCCCACAACGTGCAACATACGTGACTGTAATATTGCGTTGGGGATGAACAGATAATCTATTTCCATATGGATGACATTGTGTTTGGAATGCAAAGCATGAGAAGTAAAACCAAAGTTGCCAGTTTTTTTCGCCATTAAAATTTAAACATCATTGACGCCTGCCGCAAGTTGGAACGCTGTCATTTCGAGACCACACTCCACATTAAATTTAAATGCGTACATCTATGGGGGAATTGCGATATCATGGAACTTTAATGTCACAACTAAAATGACTGACGTTTATTCCAGATCCTTCGGAAAGACACTTGAACTTATTTGTTGGTGGATTAGTGGTGGCCATTCCTCTTAATTTATGCCCAAAAATAAGCGTTTTGTAGTCATCAATTGATATGTGCTCTATCCGAATTGTATTGAGATGTTAGTCATTTATTGTTTGGGTAGTATACAAATATATTTTGGCCGACATTGCTCAAATCGATTTGACCGTAACACAATAGCTGCACCAAGTTGTACCGACGGTAAATTAAATCACGTAATCATGGTGTGTCTGGAACACGCTGACAATGTATGCGAGAATTGTCCTCTTTCTGAATGTACCCACTACTACTCACAAGTGAATTTGAGGACCAGGAATCCATGTGTGACGCCATTGCTACGTGAATGAACCACTACAACACATGGCCCATTACCTTCCTTTCTTCCATTCCTGAAGGTTCAACTGCTCTCAATTTTTCTGCGGTTGACTCATCAGAAGAAGAGACAAAATCGCGTCATTAAACGCCAAAGTCACTTTGCGGTGGTTGCTATGATAGCTTTGGCGACATTTGAGGTGGGTGAATTTTAAAATAGATCGTTGAGAACTTCATGACCCTTCTCCATTTTTAAGGATTCATTGGACGAGATCACGATGACATTGTCTCTCACTACTTGTATCTCTTCATGTGTGTGCTACTAATGAAGGAGTCAATGTCTCTTCTCCACATGTGCGCGCTGTCAATCATAGCAATCCCCCCCATGCAACGTCAATGCTACTTTGTTATGATAAAGCAAAAAGGTTAAGTGGTTAATTAGTTAAATTTTGCTAAGTGTCAATTTGTGATTTGCATATTTCTCTCATGGAATTCATATATTTCCCAATCAATTAAGATTCATACATATGCATTTTGAACTATTTCCTTCTCCGGTGAAGAGTAGAATTTTTACTAAACTACTTTGTTCGAACAA